TTTATTAGGGCAGAGCCCGCCTCAGGCAACCACGACTACGACCTCCAAGGAGCACCTTCTTCTTGTATGCCTCAGGCAATCATGACTAGGAGCACCTTCTTCTTGTATGCCTCGAGCAATCCGACTAGAAGATGCTACACATCCATGATTTAGTTAGTAAAATGAAAGTGAGCAGTCGATAGCAGCAAACATAGTATAGAAGGAGACCATGGCTCTCTTAATTTGGATCTGGCAGTGTTGTGGGACACATGGGGAGAGGAGGAACCAGGAGGGGGTGGGGGCACTTTCCACAAGAAGAGGAGGAACCAGGAGGGGGTTGGGGCGCTGTCCGGGAAGGGGACTGGGGCCAAGGAAGGGCGAGCCGAGGTCACCGGTCACGGCTCACCGGACACGGTGTCGTTGGGGTCACCGGCTTGAAGAAGCTGCCGAGGTCACCGGCCGACTGTGGACACCGATAGGATGGAGGGGCCGAGGTGAGGGAGGCCGACCGAGGGTCAGCAGCGGCGGCAGAGGCCCGGCAGAGGTCGGCATGCGTGCGGCGGCAGAGGCCAGTGGTGACCATGGCGGCGGAGGGGGTCGAGGGACGCGGGCTCACGCCGCAGGGCGCGACACTTCTATTTCATGGCAGCAACAAGCCCATGACGCTTCTATCCATGTGGTGCGTGGCGTTCCTGCTCGGCGGTGTCGAGCGGTGGCGCGCGGCGAAGCGGCGGTGGGCGGGCTGGGCGCTGGGCCTGGCGGCGGGGCGGTGGATTACGCGCAGATGGGGTAGCGCTTGGCGGCGGGCGGGCGGATTGGTGCGGGATGGGGTAGCGCTTGGCGGCGGGCGGCGCGACCTCGAGCCCTCGATGTGAAGTGGCGGCGGCCGGGGCTTACGCGCTCGATGCGGACAGGGATTGGGGATTTGTTTTTTTTAGGCGAGGGTGATGAGCGCTAGTAGGGGATGGGCTGTTGGCAGGCTGGATTGGTGGGCTCCATTTTTTTTCTGACAATGTGGGTCACATAAAATTTGGGTGGGAATTGGGCCAATATACTCCGCGCTAGGGCAGCCAATTCGTTGCAACGGACGGTGGGTCGCTAAAAGTAATATATAACGTCGGACCATCCGACGTTAAAGTTAAATAGAATTAATGTCGGATAGGCTATGGTAAAAAACGAGATATAACGACACACCGTCCGTTATCGATCTTTAACGTCCAACCTTTCGACCTTAAATCAAAACTTTTAACGTCCCCCACCGATGCTAATTTTGGGTTGTGGTGTAGTGAGTGATAAAAGACCTCCGATCATGGTTAGTCGTAGGCATAGAAGAATAATTAAAGGATACGACGACATATTTGCTGTTGGAGTCGGTTTTGCCATTTTCTTTCATCTCCTTCTTGTCTCCCTTGGTCACTTGGTAGGACTCATCATTATCTCCATCTTCGAAACTACTTGATATATCACTTGATGATGCATTTGTTGCCTTCTCTTCTTCTTCCTTCTAGCTTCTCGTCTTTTTCTTCTTGCTTCTCTCTTGAGCTTTCTTTCTTTTTTTCTTTGCTTCTTGTCTTCAAGCCTTTACTGCTCCTTTTTCTTCTTTTCTCTTACTTCCCTTTTTGCTTTTCTTGCTGCCTTTCTTTTCTTTCTTTCTTCTTCATTTAGAGCTTTCTCGGCATCGGTAGCCTCCAGCTGTGGGAGCGTGGTGTTGCTCGTTGTAGAGGCACTGAGCTCACTACTGTCGGTCTCATGGAAGCCCATGTCCTCTAGATCGACATCTATGGGATTCACACCACTGGATCCTCCTCCGGGCTCCATACCTCACGCGATAAAGTGCTCACAAGGTAACATGCTCTGATACCACTTGTAGGATCTCTAGTTAGCCTAGAGGGAGGTGTGAATAGGCCTGTTAAAACAAACATAAGCAAATGTTAAATTCCATCCTGTGGCACTGCCACTCAGTGGCACTGTCGGGCCAGAACAGGCGGCACTACCACACCTGCAGACAACTTCGAGGCACAATTCAAAATCTGAATATGGAAACTTAGATCAGAGAAATTACAGAGGCTCCTGCAGGTATGTAGTTTATAGATCAACAGTTATAAGTGGTAGGTACAACATACACAAGTAGATCGACCATAAACTCTAGAAATCACCTCAACAACAATATGAAATGCAAGTGAAGTAAATCAAGCACAAGGTGACATAAGAATTTATCCCGTGGTTTAGTTCTCCACTAAGGCTTGCCTAAGTCCACGCTGTTGAGGTTAGCCACTAAGGTTTAGGGCTTTGCAACCCTTTCTCGTTCTCAAGTCAAGAGGGTTAATTCTTGAGATGAGGGGTGAGTTTACTGGCTTCAAGAGATGGTTAAAAACCTTTCGGGGCTGCCACACACGTTGACAAACTCCACGGGCGATGCTCTAGTCAGCTAGGAGCAAGTTCCAAAAGTAACAAACACAACCGCCGACCAAAACATGAACCAAGTGCTCTTTTGAGTTGGAGAATCAGTGGATCTGCTCTCTAATCGAGTTTGACACATTTTTCTCTCAAGTATTGATGGAGAAATCACAAGAGAAAGCTTGAGAGTTTTTGTGCACCAATGGAGAGAGAGAGAACAAGAGCTGAGCTAAAAAGCGTTGGTCTAAAAAGTTGTGCGAGGAAGAAGACCGTTGTGAGAGAGAGAACAATATTTTTCTCTCACATCAAACCAGTCAATAGTATTTTCAGCCATGTCTTATAAGCCAAACCAGCCCAAACGAACAGGACGATAAACTACGTAACGCAGGTTATTGCTCGAACATAATGTTGATTGGGCCACTGGCCACGTAATCGAGTTTTTTATTAGCCACCGTCAGATCGGCCTTGGAGCGACAAGATCGGGACTACCGGCGGGGGCGATTACCGTCGGCGAGTGGCTGTGATAGGAGGAGAGCTACATCTAGGGGATGAGTGGAGTCCAGAGTTGCCTGCCGCGACGCCGTTGGGAGGAGCTATTCCCCTTTGATTTTGTTTGTTAGCCGCCAGATCGAGGAGACGAGGAGAAGCGCTGCCGGTTTATATGGTACTCCCTTCATCCGGAAAAAAATACAAATATGGGTTGCGTGCCAATAAAAATAGTTCACGTTTAACGAAGTTTTCTAGTGAATATATTCATATTTATGGCTTTAAATCAATTTATTATGAATATATATTTCGTAATTAATCTAATGATATTTATTTGATATCATAAATATTGATATTTTTTATCTATAATTAGACAAACTCAAGATACTAAATTGAATTCTTTCTTGGACGGAGTTATTATATAAAAAAGTAATCGGAGTCAAATTCTTTGTTTGGAAGAGGATCAGGAGCAAGTGGGTCGCCCGTGGCGTGAAAAGTTTTGTTTTGAAAACCGAACAAGGCCTTGCGTATGTCAGGCTGGGCATTCGGTTTTAACCGACAAATCGGTTCGGTTTGTTTGTTGTAGAAAACTTCGGTTTCCAGAGATCAGCAACCGATCGGTGTTCTATAGAATTGAAAACCGACGAGTTCGGTTACAGTTATATCGGTTCGGTTTTTCGGTTTCAATCGAAACAACCGAAACTAGCACAGAAGAAAAAATCGAAGGGAAAATGCCAGAACGGGGAAGAATAGATCCGCCGGGCTCGTAGAAAGCCTGCGTCGGCCGTCGCTCGCCGCACTGGCTCCGCCACGCGCGGGAGCGCTGCGCCACCCTACTCGACGCTCGTCGAATCACTACCTGTCTCGCGGTCGCGCTCACGCCACCGAAACCCCGAAGCGCCCGAGCCCGCCTCGCGGTCTCGCCGCCGCCGCCGCGACCTCGCGCTCGCCCTAGCGCTGTCGCTCCGCCACAACCCTCGGCCCTCGGTCGCGCCGGGATAGGGTTAGGTTTTGAGGCGATGTGGCACACACAGCGGTGGGACTAGCGGGGCTGGTGGGCGATGGTCAAGGCGGGTCAAGGCCAAATCAGCCTCACGGCCTTAGCTTTTGCTTTACGAGTTTTTTTTGGTTGCTTCGGTTCGTATGGCATAGAAACCGAAGCCGAAGCCGAACACCGAACTTCACGTAACTAGAAACCGAAACCAACTAAAAACCCGAACTACCAACTATTCGGTTCGGTTCGGGGTTTGGTTTTCGGTGAAAAAGCGCCCAGGGTGATGCGTAAGATAGCAAGTAGGTCGCCCGTGGCGTGAAAAGTAGGATTTGAATCTTTAATCAAATTTAGAAGGAATTTAATTGTGACAATTACAGAAATGGCCATCACAATGCAAGCACACATGATTAGAAAATTATCAAATAACAGTATAACTAATCTGCTCTACTGTACATTTTCAGACCATAATAAGGCCTAGTTTAGTTGCCAAAATTTTTGGCAAAACGCTACTATAGTATTTTCGTTGTTATTTGATAATTAGTGTCCAATCATAATCTAATTAGGTTTAAAAGATTCGTCTCGTGGATTTCGTCTAAACTGTGTAATTAGTTTTATTTTTATTTATATTTAATACTTCGTGCATACGTTCAAAGATTCGATGTGATAGGGAATCTTAGAAAATTTCATGTTTTGGAGGGGAACTAAACAACCCCTAACTCCATAAGCCAACAACAGGAGTAAGGAAATTACGTCCTTGTTTAGTTCGCGAAATTTAGATTTTGGGGTTACTGTAGCACCTTCGGTTTTATTAGGCAAATAGTGTTTAAACATGGACTAATTAGGCTCAAAACGTTAACATTTCCCACCAAACTGATAAGCCAACAACAGGGGTAAGGAAATTACACCGAAATGCCACTGGGGAATACCCCCTGGCGGCTTGGCGGGTGGCGGCCGCGCCGCACCGAGTCGTCGCTCGAACCTCTCCGTTCTCCGTCTCTTCTTTCGTCTCATCAACCTAAAACCCTAAACCTCCTTTCCCCTGTACAACATCGCCGACCAGTAACGGCCGTCGTCACTCCCATCCCCTACCCCCCTACAAACTGCGGCCGCCAGCCCGAATCTACCAGACCAGAGCGGGCCCCCGATGGCGGGAGGCTCCGGCGGCGGAGGTTTTCTGGGCGACGTCAACGACCCGTGGCTGAAGCCGCGGCTGCTCCGCGCGGTGGTCACCGAGCGCCTTCCGCAGCCTGGCGGCGGCGGCGCCGAGCTCTCGCCGACGGAGGTCGCCTCCATCCTCGAGGCGGTCCGCACTCACGGCCTGCTCACGGAGGATCTCCCGGCCCGCGGCGCGCCGGCGAGCTCGAAGCTCGCCGAGGCGTGGCGCGCCGCCGTCGACGCCTGGGTCGAGCGTGTCGTGGCGCTGGTGGAGAGCGACTCGGTATGGTGGTGGTTCTGTGTGATCCCTCCTCTGCCCTCTGTCTTGATAAATGAAATTTGCCTCTTCTTCCATGGGTATATGCCACTGTTTAGTGTGTGGTAATTGTCTGTAGAGAAATCCCCTAGGATCGTGTGATGGAAGTACTTTAAATTTCATGGTCATGAGTTGCAGCCAGATGGAATTAGGTTTATATATTTGCTTGTATTAAGCGAAATCAAGGGTTCCTCTGCTTCAATTTGAAATTTGAGGATACCAATGAGAATGACTCCAGCCACAGTTTACTGAATAGGTAGCTCAGAAGGACTGTATTTTAATTTAGATGTGCTGTGTAGAATAAAAGCTCCCGCTTCAGAAGGATGTACCCTACTGTATTTGGCATTTTGTAAATAAAAAAAGATGATTTGGTATAGTGTTCCTCTACATTTCTTTGATTGTGCTTTGACATTTCAGATAACCCATTCCACACCTGTTAGTGCCTTTATGTGACACATTTCTTCTCAGCTCCTCTGTTAGTTTGATCATGCGGATGTGTTTCATTTATGCTATCATACTATTTAACTAGTGTCATTTTAGGTAGAGGTTGCTAAATCAATAAAATTGCCAATCTGTGAAGTTTCTACTTTTCACCTTCTCTTCTGTTACTAAAATTACCACTAAAATGGAATGGCAGAAACATTTAGAAAGTAATGCTGTTTATATTGCTTAACTTCATTTATTTGCATATATTGTCCTTTTTCTGTTTTTTTACTGCAAGTTAGGTCTGAAAATAGTATCTATTGATCTATAGCTATGCCCTTGTTGCCTTCACATTTTATGCTTTATTGTAGAAGAATTGAAGCACAGAGCTTTTACTAATAAGCTTGCCTTTCTGTTTGACAATTTGTTAGACATACAGTTGTTGGTTGGGTACTTGCTTTCTCGGTGTGACTTTCCAAGAGTGCAGAAATGAGCGATTTGCAGAATCGCACTCCATTTGGTTTGAGAAGATTCTGGGTAATTTGCAGGTGATGCATATACTTTCGTGCAATTTATGTGGAAAATGTATGTTCGCAAATTTCTAACTTATAGTATCCTCAGAAGTTAGTTTGCTTTTTCTTTTTATTCATTGCTGTTGTGTGTGTGCATTGTATTCTTATACGTTCTTCTCCTTGCATTGATGCACAGCTCTCTGCATATTCGAGAGAAAAATATGCCATTTCAATTTCTGGGCAATCCCATTATTTAGTCGAAGATTTATTTAACATCTTTCAAATGTTTGCTAATTAAACTTCAGTAGGAGGATATACCATGAAACTGATACTGTGTCTTTGGGAGGTAATTGAAGTGATCTGCAGTTTTTCAGTTGTATTTTGCTGAAGTTGGCTTCTTTTACTGCTATGAAAACTTTCTCTTGCAAGTCCATCATGCTGTCTAGAGAACCAGTAAATTTCAGACAAGGTTTACCTTGGCAGGAGTTATATTGATGTTGTACTAGGTTTTCAAGTGCTTCAGGAATAAGACGAGCCATAGAATCTTTAGTTTTATGATACCTCTGAAAAAACAGGTGTAGCATGCTTCTCTGCAGTATCACTACTTTGGAGTAATACTTATACTGATTTACTGTAGCTGAATCTTAATTAATTCTTCTTGATTGATGTTGCCTTCTTAGGTAGTCCTGTTTTTGGTTGTTCAGAACACTATGCTATTACTTACATATTGCTAATTTTGTATATTTTTGTTTGTTTTCTGATACATATTACTTGTTTTAAAGTCACAAGTATAAGACAAAGCACCAAGAAAATAAAAATCTAAACGAGAACATGCCAGTCAACATTTTCTTCTAAGTTTTGGTCTGTCTAGTATCTTCGGACGAAGGATCAATCCATTTGAAACTTCTTGTTCAGTATACTGATCTGTAAATTGATAATCTGTTTGAATGTTAATTCATGTCAAAATACCTCTTTTTTAATGTCTGTAAGCCACAACAAATCCGTCTTGAACTATGGTTCATCATGTAATGTCATCCATCTCATTTAGTATATCATCCTAGAATGAATAGTCATCGACAAGTTACCGCAATATTTTCCTTTTCTTTTTACCTTTTTTCCAGTCTGTATTTCAGCTGTGACTTTTTTATAGTACCAGCTACCTTTATCTGTCCTAACAGTAGCGTTATGCAATGATGAAGTAAATCAGTAATAAAATGAGTGTACTCCAAAAAGAAATCAGTGGTTTCAAAAGGTACTAGGTGCTAGGCAGGCAGCAGGGAGGCTCCTAGTACCTTATTGCTGATTAGGCCATCTAAGTGGACTTATGAATGAAAAAGTAGAGAAATTATGCTTATCAGGATTTGATCTATTGACATTCTCCTTGAACCTTTGCTCCTTGAGATTGTTTATTAAATTTAAACATCATCATATATATCTGAATCTTTGTCAGTCACAGGTTAATGTTATACTGATGTATTCTCCTTCCCGTTTTGCAGGAATCATCTAGCTCTCAACTTGTTATTGTTATTTCCTGTACTTCCATGTCTGATTTATTTGTAAGGTAAGTAATGGAAGATTATTGTTATTTAGGCCGCCAAGCATATCCTTGGATTGTCTATGTTTAATAGTTATGCAATTAAACTTTGATTGTTATTTTATCATTTGAACTACCGCTTGATAAAGTTTCTTATTGTTCGCAAGGAATTTGCATATGGTTCTGATGTCTGAATTCAACCCTTTTACTCTTTATTATTCTTTTTTTTTAGTTCTGCTTGGCTGTAAAAGTGGACTACTGCATTCAAATCAAATTTTTATTTTTTTCAGAATTATTTAAGTTTACCTTGTATTGCTCTGTTTAGTAGTTTTCTAATAGGCCATATAATTAGTTCTGAAGTAGCAAAGTAACTTGAACTAATGACATGACTGCACACTATCCTGCAGTAAGAAGAATATTTGTGAATTGAACTTCCAATCTTCAAGACTGTTCCAAATTTCAAGTTTCATGTTTGCATTTGACTAATAATGTATATGTGCTATTCTTTCTAAGTTGTAAAGGTATATCAGTTTTGTATTGCAGTTTTGATTGCTGAAACACTAAAATTTGATACTTTACTTAATGTGTTTTGTTCTGCATGTCTATTTTATTTACACTGAAACCACATAATTCGTTTTCTGATTAGATTGGCTAAGTTTTTGAACTTAAAGAAAGAGGGATCATCCTTTGCTGGAAGGGTTGTTGAACCGGCGCTGCGGCTTTTAAATGAAAATTGTCTAGTAGCTGTACGGTCTACTCATTTCATTCTTATGGCTTATTGTTTGCGTTCAACCACTCAATGGTAATATTTGTAATTATATGTATTTCTGCAGGACGAAGCAATCGATTTGCTGAGGACAGTTATTAAATTGTACCCATCCTCTGTAAACCGGCACTACAATAAAGTACATCTTAATTTTATTATCATTTCCTATTCTGGATTAATATGTAGCTATGATGGGCTTATATTAGTTGGGGTGGTAAGCCTAGATTGTAGTGGAAGGAGGTCGGAGGGTGAGGAACGGGGACTTGGCGACGACCTGTGGTCGCCTGTGGCTAGGGTGGCTGGCAGCGGCACAGAACAGGGGGCGGTGCTGGCACAGACGGAGAGGGAGGCGCAGGAGGTGGAGTGTGGGAGAGCTGAAGAGCTAGGGAACTTGAGGATTGAATCCTCAAATTCTTTCTTTAATATTACGAGTACATGACCCCTTTATTTATACTCCCTAAGACTTGACACCCAAGCAACCTAGAGGTAGAGTCCTTATAGATTTGGACTCTCATTTCCCTAAACAATCTTTCCTAAACTGATTTTTTTCTTATCCTATTCCTATCTCTAATTTTAGTCAGGTCCAGACTCCTTGGGGAAGGGACCTGGTCGGCTGGGGGTAGCCCCCCCCACCCCCACCCCCCAGGCACGCGGCCAGGGTGTGACCTCGCTAGGGCCCACCACCTTGGGCCATGTTTAGGCCCATGACAGTAGCGCTTATTGCCCAGGGAGAAAAGGAGGGTTCTTCCAGAGTAAATAGAAAAGGGTTCATAGCATTTTGTTTTTGTTCCTGATAGGATTGTATTGCAGAAGTTGGAATTTGATACAAGTTTGTTGATTATCTTCTCAGTCTAAATGGATTGCAGAATTGAACAGCTATTAGAGCTCTAGATATTTTTTCAGCTGCTTGTTATTTTTTTAATATTGGAAATGCAGATTTTGAGTGGGGATCGAAGTGTTCTGTGATTTTTCGCACACTCCCCCTCTCTCCAGCATCCCCTGGAAAAGGCATTCCTAAATTTAAAAGGAAAAGGGAAAAATGGCACAGGTCCTGTCATTAACACTGCGGTGCAACGCATGTTTTCCATGCATGTTGGCTGTTATTTAAGTTTCTATTCCCCGAATCCCCCAAGTTCCCAAATATACGATGCAGATTTTTCAGAAGTCCACTAATCGCTTGTGTCTATAGAAGTAAACATGATAGTATCTGTATATAGTATTTCTATCACCCTAACTGTTCTGCTCTTATAGTTTTGTACTTGCATTTGCAAATTTCAGGTTGAATCTACTATTGCAGCAAAGATTATGAGTACGAGAATCAATGTAAAACCATCTGAGGTGAGGGCTGCTGCCTTGAGTTTTATCTGTGTAATGAGAATTCAATAGTGAGCACACATTAGCCTATGCACGTCATGTCTCCTTTTTCTTTCTTGATCCTTGTCAAGAATTCCCCAAATCTTACATATCCTGTTCCAATGCTCCAGAAATTTGTGAGAACTTTAGCATTGTTACCTTCTGTCCGAGTGTCCGAGGACAGTTGGTCACTGATGATTCGGAGGATATTGATTATGGTAAACAATCTTTTGAATGATGCTTTCATTGGGCTTGAAGAAGGTATAATATAACAGTTTGCTGCTAATATTGTTTCAATTCAACCATTTCAGGTTAATTTTTAACCATTCTACTGTTACAGAAAAGAAAGGCCATGATATTATGCTGCTGCTAGTTCCACCTGGAGCTGATCCTCTACCAACATTGGGAGATGAAGTAATGCCTGGAGGCAATGTGCATGTCATGAAGAAATTTCGTGTCTTTACTGTTCCTACCATTTCAGCTCTTACACATTGCTGCAGTGTGATGCTGACTAGTTATTATCCAGTTCAGGTTTTTTCAAAATCAGAACATTTCTGCTTATTACCTAATGCTCATAACTTACTAGTGTAAGGTGTAAATTAAATTTATTCTAATTTCTTCCTACTATTTTATTGGCAAAAAGGTCAATGTTCCGATTCATGCTTTGATGGCTTTGATGCGAAGAGTGCTGTTAGTTGATGGATCATTGCATAACAAGTTGTTCCCTTCTACAACTTCATTGCATCAAGAGCTTATTTGTTTTGAGCTTCCATCACTACATTCAACTTTCTTGGATTTGCTCAATGCAACTATTAAAGGAATGCGAAGGTAACTAGCATTTTCAATTAGACTAGTTAGCTGTCACTAGTTTTGGAACAAACAATTGGACCTCTATAGAATCTCTTTCATATCAATGTTTGAATCTGACTAAGATAGAAAATCTGACCTTAGATAGAAAAAGACTGATTTAGTCTATCATCCTGCAGCCAACTCTTACCTCATGGTGCTAGTCTCATACGGCTTATAACAGAGTACTTCAAAATAGCAAAACTGCCTACTTTGAGGACAAAAGCTTATAGCATTTTGCAGCTGTTGCTGACCTCCATGGGTGTTGGTAGGTCATTCTTTATTTCTTTTATATATTACTTTGCAGTTATGATTTTAGCTTTGGAAATAGTACAATTGATTATAATTTTTTGTCAGTGTAGTTTCGCCTTTGTCATAGTAATACTGTTATCGCATATCAGGCTAGAATTGTGCTTGAATGCCTGATCTTTTAAATTGGCAATATTAGTAACAAACAAAGTTCCTTCAATGGGTTTTGAATATTGAAAACATAACCTTGAAATATCTTCAGCAGGTTAAGTTAGTAAATTTGTAATGACTTTTACTTGTTATTATGAGTTGTAAAGTCTATAAAACTTAGACATGAAGTATGTAGGATGCTCAGATTTTTGCTTCAAGCATTGATAATAGGTCCCAATTGTTTGGTAGTGTTTAACCACTGTTTCACCTCCTCGACTTTAAGGGCCTGTCTGGATGTTGTAGTTTAGTAAACTATGGTATCAAAATGTTGTAAACCCAAAAGGAAAGGAGGCCTTGGCATCATTAATCCAAGAAGTCAAAACACAGCCCTTCTGCTTAAGCATTTGGATAAATTCTATAACAAGAAGGAGATCCCTTGGGTGAAACTTGTTTGGCACGCACATTATTCCAATGGTGAAATCCCACATGCAACAAGTGACGAAGGCTCTTTTTGGTGGAGAGACATCTTAAAACTATGTGATCTCTTCAGAGGAATTGCTAACTGTAACATTGGAGATGGCACCACTGTATTATTCTGGTCTGATCTGTGGAATGATAATATTATGCAAATCAAGTATCCCAGGCTTTTCTCTTTTGCTAAGCACAAAAAGATCTTAGTAGCTCAATTCTTGCTGAATAGCAATTTGGAGTCACAATTTCACCTTCCTCTATCTGAACAAGCCTTTCAGGAGTATCAAAATCTCCAAGATTACATTCAAACAATTCAAGTGCATCATGGCACAAAAGACTCTTGGCGCTTTATTTGGGGAAGTAATATCTACACATCCTCTAAATTCTACAACTTCCCATACAGAAACGCCCAGCCACCAGCTCCTTTTATTTGGATTTGGGATTCTAAGTGCTCCAATAAACTGAGTCTTTTCCTGGTTACTTCGTATGGACAGGCTAAATACAAGGAACATTCTAAAGAGGAAAAAACATAAGCTGGAAGGAAACAATTATAACTGTGTTCTCTGCAATAGCAATGTGGAAGAAACTGCTTTTCACTTGTTCTTCAGCTGCACATTCAGCCGAGCTTGTTGGCAGCACCTGGGCATCCAATGGAATTTTGCAAGTGATTTCTTCCAGATGTTGATACAAGCCAAGCAACAATTTTCGAATCCCTACTTTATGGAGATATTCACCATTGCGGCTTGGCAGATTTGGAAACAAAGAAATAACTTCATCTTTGATAGGGGTCATTCTTCCTTAAATTCTTGGAAGTTCAGCTTTAGTGAGGAAGCTCGACTTCAGACCCATAGGATCTGTGATGCTAAGCGTCCTGCTTTCTTATCCTGTATAGATTCCCTAGCCTAGTTTCCTTGCCTCTCTTAGGCTTCTAGTTTCTGTTGTTGGTTGTTTTCTTGTACAGCTTTGTGTGTCTTGTGCAGCTTCTTTTTTTTTAATAAATATAAAAGCTTACAGTGGGGGCTTCCCTTGCTGTATTCAACAACAACAACAACAAAGTCTTTAAGTCCCAAACAAGTTGGGGTAGGCTAGAGTTGAAACCCAGCAGAAGCAATCAAGGTTTAGCCACGTGAATAGCTGTCTTCCAAGCACTCCTATCTAAGGCTAAGTCTTTGGGTATATTCCATCCTTTCAAGTCTCCTTTTATTGCCTCTACTCAAGTCAACTTCGGTCTTCCTCTGCCTCTCTTCATGTTACTATCCTGGCTTAGGATTCCACTACACACCGGTCCCTGTGGAGGTCTCCGTTGGACATGTCCAAACCATCTGAACCGGTGTTGGACAAGCTTTTCTTCAATTGGTGATACCCCTAATCTATCACGTATATCATCGTTCCGATTTCGATCCCTTCTTGTATGACCGCAAATCCAACGTAACATACGCATTTCCGCGACACTTATCTGTTGAACATGTCGTCTTTTCGTAGGTCAACATTCTGCACCATACAACATAACAGGTCTAATCGCCGTCCTATAAAACTTGCCTTTTAGCTTTTGTGGTACTCTTTTGTCACATAGGACACCAGATGCTTGTCGCCACTTCATCCACCCTGCTTTGATTCTATGGCTAACATCTTCATCAATATCCCTGTTTCTCTGCAGCATTGATCTTAAATATCGAAAGATATCCTTCCTAGGCACTACTTGACCTTCCAAACTAATATCTTCCTCCTCCCGAGTAGTAGTGCCGAAGTCACATCTCATATACTCAGTTTTAATTCTACCGAGTCTAAAACCTTTGGACTCCAAAGTCTCCCGCCATAGCTCCAGTTTCTGATTCACTTCTATCCGGCTTTCATCAACTAGCACTACATTGTCCGCAAAAAGCATACACCAAGGGATGTCCCCTTGTATGTCCCTTGTGACCTCATCCATCACTAAGGCAAAAAAAATAAGGGCTCAAAGCTGACCCTTGATGTAGTCCTATCCTAATCGGGAAGTCATTCGTGTCTCCATCACTTGTTCGAACTCTAGTCACAACATTGTTGTACATGTCCTTAATGAGCCCGACGTACTTCGTTGGGACTTTATGTTTGTCCAAAGCCCACCACATAACATTTCTTGGTATTTTATCATAAGCCTTCTCCAAGTCAATAAAACCATGTGTAGGTCATTCTTCTTCTCCCTATACCGCTCCATAACTTGTCTTATTAAGAAAATGACTTCCATGGTTGACCTTCCGGGCATGAAACCAAATTAGTTCATAGAGACCCGCGTTATTGCTCTCAAGCCATGCTCGATAACTCTCTCCCATAGCTTCATAGTATGGCTCATCAACTTAATTCTCCGGTAATTGGTACAACTTTGAATATCCCCTTTATTCTTGTAGATCGGTACCAATATACTTCTCCTCCACTCATCAGACATATTGTTCGATCGAAAAATATGGTTGAACAGCTTGGTTAGCCATACTATAACTATGTCCCCGAGGCATCTCCACACCTCGATTGCGATACCATCCGATCCCATCGCCTTACTTCCTTTCATCCTTTTCAACGTCTCTCTGACCTCAGATTCTTGGATTCTCCGCACAAAACGTCTATTGGTGTCATCAAAAGAGTCATCCAACTGAAAGGTGTCCGTATTCTCACCATTGAACAATTTGTCAAAATACTCTTGCCATCGATGTCGGATCTCATCCTCCTTCACCAAGAGATGCTCCCTTTCATCCTTAATGCACTTAACTTGGTTGAAGTCCCTTGTCTTTCTCTCATGAACCCTAGTCATCCTATAAATGTCCTTCTCTCTTTCTTTCGTACTTAAATGTTGGTAAAGATCCTCGTACGCTCTACCCTTTGCCATACTTATAGCTCGCTTCGCAGTCTTCTTTGTCACCTTGTACTTCTCTATGTTGTCCACACTCCTATCATGGTACAAGCGTCTATAGCATTCTTTCTTCTCCTTAATAGCCCTTTGGACTTCCTCGTTTCAACACCAAGTATCTTTAGCCTCGCCTCCACTTCCTTTGGTTACTCCACACACCTCTGAGGCCACCCACCTCTGAGGCCACCTTCTGAATGTTGGTTGCCATCTTCTCCCACATGTTGTTTATGTCCTCTTCTTCCTTCTAAGAGCCCTCTTTGATAACCCTTTCCCTGAATACCTCTGACGTCTCCCCTTTCAATTTCCACCACTTTGTTCTTTTAATCTTAGCTTGTTTATCCCTACGGGCACGCACCTGAAAACGAAAGTCTGCCACCAAAAGCTTATGTTGAGAAACAATACACTCCTCTGGTATCACCTTGCAACCCAAGCATACTCGTTTGTCCTTTCTTCTTGTGAGGACAAAGTCAATCTGGCTAGAGTGTTGTCCGCTACTGAAGGTCACTAGATGAGATTCTCTCTTTCTAAAGAAAGTGTTGGCTATCATCAGGTCAAAAGCTACCGCGAAGTCCAGAACTTCCTCCCCCTCCTGATTCCTACTACCATACCCAAAACCTCCATGAACTGCCTCGAAAGCTGAGCTTGTTAAGATCTCCTATAAAAAGCTTCTCACTACTAGGTACAGCTCTAATCAGGTCATCTAAGTCTTCCCAGAACTATCTCTTAGCACTCTCGTCGAGGCCTACTTGGGGGGCATACGCACTAATTACGTTCAAGACCATATCACCAATGACAAGCTTGACTAAGATAATCCTATCTCCTTGCCTTCTCACTCCCACCACACTATTCTTGAGGCTCTTATCAATCAAAACTCCTACTCTATTTCTATTCGCAACTGTCCCTGTGTACCAAAGCTTGAAACCTGTATTGTCCACCTCCTTCGCCTTCTGACCCTTCCATTTAGTCTCTTGAACGCATAATATATTTACACGCCTCCTAGTCACGGTATCAACTAATTCTCTTAACTTACCTGTAAGCGACCCTACATTCCAACTACCTAAACGGATCCTAGTTGGTTCGACTAGCTTCCTTACCCTTTGCACCCGTCGACTCAGATGTGAAGACCCCATTTTTCACTACACCCGGGCGCCGATGTAGCGCGCCACTAAGGATGCGACGATCCGATCCTTGCTCACTTGACACCGTGCCCAGATCGCGACACGGCGCATCACGGGGGTGACGACCCGGCCCTTGCTCATTTAACACCATACCCGGGTTCCGATATGGCGCGTCGCTAAGAGGGTTATGCCCCAACGGTTTTCTTTCGGGTTTCATCTCCATTAGAATGGCTAGATTTAACGTTGGCTCGCCATGCCTATCACAACCCTCCTCCTTTACTAGGGCTTAGGACCTGCTATGTTGAGACAACATAGGCGGAGTTACTTCCCCTGCTGTATTATTTAAAAAAAACTATGGTATCAAGAAACAGTAACTTTATATGAGCTAAAGATGTGCAAAACCATGGTTTAGAAAAGAAGAGGTCTCAAGTGAAGTTTCCAAAACTCCAAAAAGACTACAGTTTTGACAATATCATGGTTTCAAAAACTAAAAGGTTTGGAAAGCCAAAGTATTTTGCAAAACGGTAGTATTTTTTTCCAATATTTCACTTCCAAACAGGGCCAAAATGTTTTACTTTCCATTGATACTCCATCAGGATCGATTCACTTTATGATTTTCTATTGGAAATTGAGATTCCTTATGCTTAACTTAACATTGATATTACATTAGAATTGGTTCACTTTATGCTTGAGATTCCATATATTTGGTACATATTCTTGGTTTTGTTTTTAGTCAAACTCCTGTTGCATCCGTTTTGAACAAATGGTCTGTTTTTATCAGGGACGTCTCTGCACCTGCTTGAGGCAATAGTCAGCAATGCAATTGCTGATCTGAATGATGATGGTGGTAGTGACATGACTATAATCAACACAAATCCATCACAATGGACAAATGAATCATCATCAAAAATTTATTCGAAGAAGAGGAAGCAAGAACCACAGATGCAAAACTCAACCATCTCAGGTTCAGAGAAAGTAGCAATCAGCCCAAGGAAAAGAAAAGGTTCTTCCATACCAATTGCATCAAAGGGAGTGGCCCCTGAAAGTATAGGAGATGTTAGACTATCAGCACCACTTTCTGTCAAAATAGCTGCACTCGAAACATTGGAAATTCTTCTGAATGTGGTGTGTGCTTAAAACCAACTTATTTCTCATTATCCTCTTATTTCTGCATGTCTTCTGTTTTCTGTTTGCCAGATATTTGTTGTTTGAATCCTTGTTCTCATATTGGTCTGGATACAATTATAGCAAAAATGACTTTGGAAAGCTCATTGAAAACGTTTTTTCCCCCCTTCATAAAGAAGGTTCAAAGTTCATCAAACCATATATACACCTCTTGTTGTAAGTTTCAAGCAATGAACCAAATTGGATAATGGATAAGATATTTTGCAAGTTTCAATGATTAAAGGATTGAAGTAATTTTTGAAGCAAATCGGTACAACTATTTTTTTGAAGTAATTTTTGTGCCGTACACTTTATTTACCAAAACAAAGAATTCTTGGTGCTCATAGATAAGTATATTCAGACCATAGCTGAAATAGTAACTACAACTATTTTTTAATGATTATATTCTACGGAGGAAGAGGTACCAAACTTACCTTAACTTTTCATGGTGAACAGAAACAAATTGCGCTCACTTTATATGAATTGGTTATGCAACCAGCATATATATTGTTATTTTAATCAATGTATTTAAGTATTTGAATTCAGATTATAGATAGATTTTTATGATATTATCAACTTATCACTAGCAGGGAGGTTCATTGCGGATGGATCGCTGGAGGTCAGAAGTGGACGTGCTCTTAATCAACGTGGCTAGAAGTGCTTGCAACATGAGAGGGAGTTATGAGCAAAAGCCCTCCGTATTTGGGGAGCCAAGCATATCCGACCTCCAACTTGCTTCGTTTAAGGGCCTGCTGGCATCTTTTCTTGCTTCTCCTCATGCCCGTCCTCCTTACTTAGCCAAAGGAATTGAACTCTTCAGAAAAGGTAATATCTTTCAGCATGCTATTTATAGGATTTTGGATGAGTTATTTAAATTTTAGTTTATAATTAACACATGCAGTTAGTTGAACAAAGGTTTAACTGCAATTGGTATGTCACTGAAAAAATATTTGACTGACAGGGGGGATGTACCCAGTGCACAGATCTCGTTCAAAAAACAATTAGCAACTTATTTATTTTGGATCATAAGCTAGATTTTAAAATGGAGTGTTAACTGACAAGCATGTTCTAGAGCGCTGTTTGCTGGCACATCTGTGGAATGGTACTTGTCGGGCCTCAAGTTTGGTTTTCCTTGCGAGTTGCAGGGTTTGGTTTCGATTCTGGGCTTCTAAATAATGTCCACTCCCATATATAATTATAATTTGTATCATTTGTTCATCACAGGGAAGCTAGAGATAGGCACTAAGCTTGCAGAGTTTTGTTCACATGCTTTGCTTGCTTTGGATGTCCTTGTCCACCCTCGAGCCCTTTCTCTAGAAAGAACAGTTCCTGTAGGCTCTGGGCCAAAGGGAAAGGCGGTTTTTGGTGCTGGAACATACCAGATTTCAAGATTTGGGGATCAGCCTCAAGCAATGGAGGTCGAAGACATGTACGATGACTGGCTGACATCCAACAACGATGAACCACCAGAGGTTCCAGTGAACGATAGTGCTGCAGGAGTAAGTACAGATGTCATGCTGGTGGAGGATGGAAAGCAGCTCAATCCCATAGCAGAAGATCCAAAAGTTGACCCACCCAGAATCACAGATGCACAAGATGCACCAACATCCACCAAGTGTGATGTCAAGATGGTTGATGCAGCTGCAGACGAAACTGCCAAGCCAAACACAGTGGAGAATCCTTCGATTTCCAATGTTGGTGCCTCTCCAGAGTGCACAACAAATTTTGATTCACGTAAGCATGTGGTATTTTCTGAGCAGGTTAATCCTCATGAGAACAAAAGCCCAGCAGCTGTCCATCCGCCATCCAGCAGCCTGCTGGGAACTTCAGGTGAACCTTCTGCTACTCCAGGTGTCGGTTCAAGCCACCGTCAAGCACCTGAGGCCCGTTCAACCAGCTTTGCGGAATTGTTTGGTTCGGAGTCTGGCATTGAGTCAGAGTCTGAAGACTCGCTGCCAGATATTGTCGACGGGGACCCAGATTCTGACTAGGTTTCATAACAATTCGTTTTGTAACTTATATATGGCTCGGTCCGTTTTTTGTAGACTAATGACAATGGTTGTCGTCATTTTTGACATGCCAATTTTGTGATCAGCTATTTTGTTTTGAGAAAATTGTACGAGACACTGCCGACTGACAGATGATGCAACATTTGTAGTTCCTAGTGGAACACAGTTTCTAGAACACTGCCCATTGATAGAGATGAAGCAATATCTTGTGGCATTTGACCGTAGTTTTACCAAAAAAAATTGCTCTGGCCTGATTTACAGGAAAGGCAAATACTGGAATAAAGATCAAACAAACTATTTCGATGACTGGAATAAAGATCAAACAAAACAAGAGTACTTCTCTCACAAAAAACAACATTACAGTTTAGCCTTCTAAATCAGCATTATTCACTTCACAAATACTAGAAGCAAAAAGACATGGATGACAACAGATTCATTCTCTCCCTCAACTCTCGAGTAACAAAACTGAATTTGCTTACTTGTGACTGACTAATTACCATTGACCGTGAGCAACTATAACAACAAATCAAGTTAAAGATGGCATCCTAACTTGTGACTGGCTATATTAGAGCATCTCCAAGAGTTTAGAAAAACTACTCCCTAAACTTGTTTTTGGTGCAACAAAGGAAAAAAATCGCTCCTACAGTTTCCGCACTCCCAACCGAGTGATTGTTGCAGGTGGAGCGCGAGTTCCCCACGGAGAACGGAGGTGGAGGTGCTGTAGCGCGTCCGACACCGGAATCTGTGTTGTTGCAGGGCTACTACTGCTTTCGGCTTCGACGGACGATGGATTCGCCTCCGAGAGGAACCTGCATGGTTGGTGGCGTGTTGAAGACACACGAACAGAGCAGGAACCTGCAGCGAGCTCGTCCCAAGAAGAGGTGATGGATGAGGTTCATCCTTGCTCCCCTTGCGCTGGTTTAGTACGTTCGTTGCGTGCACTGGCTTCTTCAATTCTCAGGTCATGCTGTTAAAGACAAGCCCAGTCAGTGTTGAGTAGGAGCTGGAGATTCAGGAAATTGTTTCACAAAGTGATATTGTGAACAGAGATGATTGCAATTGCAGTTGCAGAGCCTGATGTATAGGAAATGGCGACGTTTGTGCGCATTGGTGATGTCTATGGTCTCTGCGGATTTGTGTCGAGCTAGGTGGAGGCCAGGTTGTGGAGTCGAGGTGTGAGTGTCAGTGGTGACGGAATGTGGCCAAGTAGAGGGCGTACGTGTAGTGTTTGGTGGACATGGCTTCCATATGGCGTTGCTGGGCGATGGTATGGCAGGACCGTGCGCCATGGATGTCCACGAAATTGGCAATAAGGCCAGCAGAAGTGCTTTGCTGAGTGGCATGCGTGGCAAGGTCTTCTATTGGCACTTAGAGGCTCCGTGTGACATTTTTGCTTTCTTTGATGAGGCTACTTGGTTGCTATGAGCTACGTTGTATGAGGCAGAACCTTATGGGACAAGGACGACCTGGTGTTGTCAGAGGCTTTTGCTCACGTATCAGCTTGATGGCTTGCAACGGACTATGGTGGCTAACGTTGTATTGTAGAGGTTAGTCTGGTGTGGGATAATGTTGCTAGGCGGCGCAAGCAGAGTTGATGGTGTGGCAATAACATGGCTTGCAGCATTGCGGTGTCTAGTCTTGCACAAGAATGGCTAGGGTGGTGTGGGACTTCACCGGTGACAACGACATGAGTGGTGACGATGACTTTTTGCCTTGACGGGCCGACGGCTTTGTCATTAGAGCAATGGTGAGTGCAGCGTGGTAAACAACTAATGGTGGATGGTGCTTGTGGCGTGATCATGGTTGTGGAGATAAGTTGTTTGAGTGGAATGGTATAGAGCTTTGGCGAGTGATGTTTGGTGCGTGTTGAGGTCTCAATCTAACCGGCCCATGGTTAGTTGCTTTTAGTTGTTAGTCTGGCTCGTTGTCGTTGCTGTTGTTGCTTAACACTTTTAGGGCCATTGTTGCTCACTTATATAGCCCAATCTGTTTTTTTTAATATGGTCGGTAGCTCTCCTACCATTGATCACATGATTGCAAATGTTGTAGCAATGAGCAATGTACTCTAATGTTAAAAGTATTTGTACTATTTTTTTTCATGCACCTTTGTCTTCATGTATCTTAATTTATTCCGCATCTCAAGTGGTGAGTCGGTCTAAAGGAAAAAGACAAGACCATCAATGTAGCCATGCACTTACTTAAAACTCTAACCTTCACTTCACCTCTATCAATCTACTCATCTCGCCCATCCATCATTTCTATTTATCAGATCCTATTAAATAGAAATAGAAATACACGGCGACAACAATTATACCTGTTTTTTTTTAAAAAAACCACAACAATAGCCATACCCTTGATGATGATATACACATGACTAATTCCATGGTTGGGACTAGATAGGATGACACGAGCTCTGGTTATCAAAGGCTAGGTCACTTTGTTTCTCGGTTTACATTAGATGTTTGGTTGGCATGACTCTAGATCAGGATCCGGATTAGATGTGTATATATTCATAGACAGAATTATAGTGATCTAAAAATATTTTATATTTAGCATAAAGTATAGACAAAAACATCCATCTACACAAGAAGGCATACAATATGTTATACTCATGAATAAAGCAACTTCTATAATTGGATTTGGTTAGTCATTAAGTCAATATCCTATTTCTATCCCAGAAACCCTCCCTATAGGCCCCCGCCGCCGGCCCGTGCCGCGCGTGGTGAGCTTGACGCACTAGGCGTTCACTAGCTCGCTCCTGGACTCGCGGCTCCCGACGACGAGCCTGTCCAAGCAGCAAGCAGATGCTACGCTGAAAGCGTATGTTGCAATTATATGTTTCAAGTATTTTAGATGTTTCCGTTGTATGTCGCAAGTATTGTATATCGACGTTGCAAAAGTAGATTGGGATGTTGCACATGTTGTAATGCCTATACACGTATGTTTTAAGTGTATATTCTAAATGTTTCATCTGTTCCAGATAAATGTTGCAAAAGTAGATCTAGATGTTACATATACATGCATATTGTAAGTATACATTTCAAGTGTTTCATACGTATGTTTGCAAATATTTTATCTGGATGTTGCATATGTTTATAATGATTTTCAAATGTTTTTCAGACGTTTTTTAAGTGTTTCGGATGTTTATTTTAAATGTTTTATTTATATATTGCTAGATATTTCAAACCTAGATTAGATTAGGTGTTGGACATGACATGCGTATAGGAAGCAGTCCGGAGCGGCGTGGATGACGTCCGAAGCGGCCCGGAACAACTATCGGTGCGCTCTGAGCCCGACACACTTAGGTGCTCATTTGCTCTCTGTGCGCAGCGTTCCTTCCTGAGCTGCACCGGTTAACGACTTTAACGCTGCAGCTGCCCAGCTGCTCCTGCCAAAGCCAAACCGAAGGCGACAAGGTCAATGGAGAGGCACCGGTTAACGACTTTAACGCTGCAGCTGCCCAGCTGCTCCTGCCAAAGCCAAACCGAAGGCGACAAGGTCAATGGAGAGGGGCGGGCGCGGAGGGAGAAGAAGGGAACAAGACGAGCAACCTGACAAGCCAACCAACCGTTTCCATTCCCAATCTTCCAGCAGTCCCCATTCGTCTCCAAAGGTCTGGTTTAGATTCCAATTTTTTACTCTTTTTTTATCATATCAAATCTTTGAACATACATGCATAGAATATTAAATATAGATAAAAAAATAACTAATATACAGTTTGATTGTAAATTACGAGACGAATCTTTTAAGTCTAATTAGATCATAATTAAACAATAATTATCAAATACAAATAAAAATATTACAGTACCGGATACTAATTCCTGGCAGGTATCTGAACAAGGCCCAAGTCTCCGGTCTCGATCCCTCCCTTCCAGAACAAGACAGCTGACGCCGCCGCCCCCCGCCGGCCGCACCCGTCCATACCGCCGGCCAATCGTCTCCTCTCCCGTCTGTCCCGCGACTCCGCTCATTCGTCACCTTCGCCCCGGCGCTCAGATCTCCGCCGCGCCTCCGCTTGATCCCCCCACCCATCCCCATTGGAGTGGAAGGGAGACCCATCCTGCGTGGGCGCACGAGGTACGTACGCTCACGCCTCTTCCGTCCTCTCCGCGCGGCCGCGGCGTTTAGGGTCGCCGATTCGCGTCCAGCTCCTCTGTACGGTAGTCATCCCGGACCCGGAGGGGCGCTTCGACTGACCCATGCGCGTGACCCAGCAGCCGAAGGCTCGGGATTGGCACTGCGTCATAGGTAGCGGGGGAATCGGGACAATAAACTGGGATATGGGTATCTGGAGCCGTGGGGGTTTTGTGGGGGTTTTAGATATGGTGGTGATATGCTAGAGATACTTGGTTCGAGCAGAGCAGATATACTGTTGGAATTTGATTCCCTCCTTTCCTGGTTCCATCCATTGATGCTGGCTGGGTTGAGGTGACACTCGCCTTTTTCAACTTTGCAGCCTTTTCTAGTTGTGGCTGACAAAATCTAGTACGCTGAATCCAGCAGAATTGGTTAATTCTTGTCAAACCAAAACTATAAACAACAGTAAAATAGGCTCCCAACATGGGATATTGGAATGGGACCATATAGCTGCTTTACCCGTCAACTCCAGTAAAGCAGATGGAGCAATCAGGCATCAAACATGAAACCAAGTAACACAAAACTGTTCGAAGTAAAGCAGATGGAACAATCGGACATCAAATCTGAAACCAAGTAACACAAAACTTCGAAGTAAAGCAGATGGAACAATCAGACATCAAATCTGAAACGTTTTACCCAATAAATGCTGAAAAAACTAGCTAAACAAAGTATGAGGGCTAATCCTTGCTCCGATTAAGTGATTAACATATACTAGCTTATTGGCTATACAACTTATCATCTCCATATCTGAGAGACTGAGACTGATAGCCCTGAGCCCCTTATTACTGACCAAACTTTACTACTTTAGGTTTCAGTTAGCCATACTTAAAACCATCATGATAAAT